AAAATACTATTGACGTTCAAAGTTGATATGATGATAGAAACTACATGACCCCATGATCAACGACTTCACCCTAGTCATACCTGGTACATCGAGAGATGCTACATCACCACTACTTGCAACATCAAATGAAAAACTTGCTGACGAGTGAGCACGAGGCGGAGGTGAGTTACGACCATCATGCTCTTCGAAGTTGTCATCCTTCTGTTCTCCGTGTATAACAGCAATACCAAGCCGTAACCTTTCGGCAAACGATGTCGCCCTGGATGATGTCATTGCTTTTTTAGAGACATGCTGATACATTATTGTATTATTTGTACATTTACACTCTAATGGCGCTGATCAACTCAGCATCAAATTATGCAAATTCAGTTTGWATCTTTTATGGTTTTATGTTGTTCCTTTTTTTTGGTGATAGAGCTAGGCTTGCCTTATTAAAAAATAAATCTTAAGGACCCCTTTTTAGTAACTGACTTACATTCATTACAATACAACAAACTCTAGCCTCGTGTCCGCACACGAATCTGTTTCTTTGTCCGGTCTTTTCTCCACTTTTTGGGTTCCAGTCTTCCTCAACACAACCGAGGTAGACTGTGACCGAGCAGAAAAATAAAATACGAGATGCCTGCCAAAACCTGGGCCCTGTAGACATGTAGTGTCACCTTGTGGACTTGTTACAGGACCTGGGGATCCCTAGGGAACGTTTGCTTACAAAATGACTCTCCCAATGTTTGGATCCAGGTCYCTACTCGCCCAASAGGATACCAGAGGGATCCCAAAAAGGCAAAATAAAGTGTTGCCCGAGGAGTTKTCTATTGATGGTTTTCAACCATTCCCATGAGAGTGAGCAAMACAAAAAGGTCCACCAGWCACGGTGGTGGTTTTCTTTTGTCAGGTCCACCAGCAATGGCGGACATCTTTTGTTCAACTTTCTCTCCTGGGAATGGTTGAAAACCATCAATATGTTAAAAAACACTTTTATAGAAAGAACTACTTTTTACTTCTGGCACACATTCRTTGTGATCCCAGACTTYGATAGTATGGATATCAATAGCCTACTTTGCAGACTATAAATATTCATGCTTGACAATCTCGCCGAATACATACAAGATTGTTCCTTATCCTCAATCCACATTCATCTGAACACAGGGTCTGAAAGTCTAGGTCAGACTTTGCCAACATGAGGATGTCTATTGAAGAGTAAACAAAAGGATGCTTCTGATCAGTAAAAAGTAGATTTACCTGTATGCTGATGATGGATTCTTTGCAACAATGACTGCATTTCTGTTATCTGGGACCTGTTTTAAGTAACATTGAGTAGTTGATTATACATATTTAGCATTTTCTCCCTGCATTATCTGAATAATATCAGATAAATTGCTGCATATGATTCTCTTACCGATTCAGAGATGTAGCGCACAATAAATGGCGATGCTCTTAAATTGTCTACTGGTATGTTATAAAAGCCCTGAATCTCTTTAGAATGAAGGTCCATTGTTATAATACCAGTTAAACCTGTCAAACCAGATATGAATGCATCACCATCATGTTTG